CTCTCTAGATTTAGGACTCTTTAGATAATCACATCATTCTCTTATAACTGTTACAAGTTTGGGGGTGAGTCCCAATCTCATAATTTTTTGATTATCACCTAAGGTAAGTTCCCTTAGCTTTTAGGCTGCTTTTCTTCTGTGGAAAATGGAGAAAATATGAATATCCACTTGTCAAAGCTGGTGGGAGGATAAAATGAGATACTGGATGTAGAATTGTCTTGTAATTTATAATGGATGTTAAAAAAAAAACCCTCTGCATAGATGGCCAACAGACACATGAAAAGATGTTCTCAGCATCACTAATCATAAGGGAAATGCAAATCAAAACCACAATGAGATATCACCTGACACCTGTCAGAATGGCAAGATTGCATGAAAAAGACAAGAAATAACAAGTGTTGATAAGAATTTGGAGGAAAAGGAACCCTCATGCACTGTTGGTGGGAATGTAAATTGGTGCAGCCATGGTGGAAAATAGCATGGAGGTTCCCCCCAAAATTAAAAATAAGAATACCATATGATCCTGGGCGCCTGGGTGGCTCAGTCGGTTAAGTGTCTGCCTTCGCCTCAGGTCATGATCCCAGGGTCCTGGGATCGAGTCCCGCATCGGGCTCGCTGCTCTGTGGGGAGCCTGCTTCTCCCTCTCCTCCCCACTTGTGCTCTCTATCTCACTATTTCTGTCTCTCTCAAATAAATAAAATCTAAAAAAAAAAAATTAAAAAAAAAAAGAATACCATATGATCCAATAATTCCAATCCAATTTGGGAATTTACCAAAAGAAAACAAAAACACTAATTTTAAAGATATATTCACCCCTGTGTTTATTGCAGCATCATTTACAATAGCCAAGATATAGAAGCAATCTAAGTGTTTATTGATAGACAAATGGATAAAAAAGATGTGACACACAGACACACACACACACAGTAGAATATTACACAGTCATAAAAAGGTTGAGATCTTGCCATTTGCAAGGTGGTTGGACCTAGAGGGCATTATGCTAAGTAAAATAAGTCAGATTGAAGGGCGCCTGGGTGGCTCAGTTGGTTAAGCGACTGCCTTCGGCTCAGGTCCTGATCCTGGAGTCCCGGGATCGAGTCCCGCATCGGGCTCCCTGCTCGGCAGGGAGTCTGCTTCTCCCTCTGACCCTCCCCCCTCTCATGTACTCTCTCTCATTCTCTCTCTCTCTCTCTCAAATAAATAAATAAAATCTTTAAAAAAAAATAAGTCAGATTGAAAAAGACAAATATATATATTTTTAATTTTATGTATGTATGTATGTATTCGAGAGAGAGAATGAGAGACAGAGAGCATGAGAGGGAGGAGGGTCAGAGGGAGAAGCAGACTCCCCGCCGAGCAGGGAGCCCGATGCGGGACTCGATCCCGGGACTCCAGGATCAGGACCTGAGCCGAAGGCAGTCGCTTAACCAACTGAGCCACCCAGGCGCCCCGAAAAAGACAAATATTATGATTTTATTCACATGTGGAATCTGAAAAACAAAACAAATGCATACACAAAAAACAAAAAGCAGAATCAGACCTATAATATAGAGAACAAACTGATGGTTGCCAGAGGGAAGAAGGTGTTGGTTGGAGGATGAGCTAAGTGTGAAGGGGAGCGGGGAGATATAGGCTTCTAGTTATGGAATGAATAGGTCAGGGGAATAAGAGAAGTTGAATCACTATGTTGTACACCTTAAACTAATTAACATTGTGTTTCAACTATACTCAAAAAAAAAAGCCCTCTACAAATCATTGTTTAGTAAGTTGTATTTGCAACTTCAGCACATGCCAACTAAATTTAGAAATTGCCCCTGCAATAGACATATGTTGCCACCAGGTGGCAGGAGAAACCTGTGATGCAATCAAGGAAGGCGCTGTTCTAAGAGCTAAAATAAATTCTGATTGTTAAAGGCAGACAACTCTTCAATGATTGTTAAATAAAAAAGCTTATTTATAAATCACAGCAAACCTAAATAAACCAAATATAAAGTCTGTAATATAATGTGTTTCATTTTTTAAGGCAATGGTGATCATTTTCTAGATGAAATCTTATACAAAATTCCAAATATATAAAATAGATAAAAATGGCAAGGACACTGGGAATCTGTTCCCTCAACCTCCTCTTTTATTCTTGAGCCAACTCTGCCAAACCTCAGATCTTAATGGGACATAGTTTTATTATTATATTTTTGAATTTATTTTATTGAGGTATAGTTGACATACAGCATTATATTATTTTCAGTGTACAACATAATGATTCAATATTTGTATATAATGCAAAATGATGACCACAATAAGTCTAGTGAACATCTGTCACCATACATAGTTACAGAATTTTGGGGATAGAGTTGTTTTGTTTGTTTTGTTTTTTAAAGAGAGAGAGCAACTGGGGTGGGGAGGAGGGAGAGGGGTAGGGAGAGGGAGAGAGAGAGAATCTTAAGCAGGCTCCATGCTGGGCATGGAGCCCGACGGGGGGGTGGGGGGGTGGGGGGAGTCGATCTCACAAGCCTAAGATCATCACCTGAGCCGAAATCAAGAGTCAAGGGTCAGATTCTTAACCTACTGATCCACCCAGGTGCCCTAGGGACAGAGTTTTATTTATTTATTTATTTTTAAAGATTTTATTTATTCATTTTGACAGAGAGAGAGACAGCGGGAGAGGGAACACAAGCAGGGGGAGTGGGAGAGGGAGAATCAGGCCCCCCAGTGAACAGAGAGCCCGATGCGGGGCTCGATCCCAGGACCCCGGGATCATGACCTGAGCCGAAGGCAGATGTCTAACGACTGAGCCACCCAGGCGCCCCTAGGGACAGAGTTTTAAACCACCGTTCTTATTAGTATATTTTCCCAACACCCTCTTAAAACATCCTTTTATCATTATGAAAAAATACATAGTAGTCTTTAAAAATAGAGTTTTAAAGTATATATAAAATATAAATCATGAAGAGATAAAATGTATATAAATATAAATTTATAGAATTTGGGGTGCCTGGCTGGCTCAGTCAGTGGAGTATACAATTCTTGGTCTCAGGGTTATGGGTTTAAGCCCCATGTTGGATGTCAAAATTGCTTAAAAATAAAATGTTTAAAAATTTATAAAACTTACAGAATATATAAACATAGAATTTTTATAAACTCTACACAGAATTAGAACATATAAATATAAATTTTTAAATTTTAGAATAAAAACATTTTAGGGCACTTCAGGAAAGTTTCTTAAAACAATATTCTTAATATTCTCAGCTGCTTTCAACCTTTATTTTAATTGTTGGAAAATTTCTATCTAGCTTTCAGTCCAAGAGCAGACTGAGCACAAACATTTCAACCCCTTTCACCCTTAAAAGTATCATGCTAAGTGAAATAAGTCAATCAGAGAAAGACAGTTATCATATGATCTCACTGATATGAGGATTTGAGAAACAAGACAGAGGATCATAGGGGAAGGGAGGGAAAAACGAAAAAAGATGAAACCAGAGAGGGAGACAAACCATAAGGGACTCTTAATCTCAGGAAACAAACTGAGGGTTGCTGGAGGGGAGGAGGGTGGGAGGGATGGGGTGGCTGGGTGATGGACACTGGGGAGGGTATGTGCTATGGTGAGCGCTGTGAATTGTGTAAGACTAATGAATCACAGATTTGTACCCCTGAAACAAATAACACATTATATGTTAATTAAAAAAAGGAAAAAAAAGTATCAACATGATTTCACAGAACTAGAACAAATAATCCTAAAATTTGTATGGAACCACAAAGACCCCAAACAGCTAAAGCAATCTTGAGAAAGAAGAACAAAGCTGGAGGCATCACAATCCCAGATTTTAAGAGATACTACAAAGCTATAATAATCAAAACAGTGTGGTACTGGCACAGAAATAGACACATAGCTCAATGGAACAGAATAGAGAACCCAGAAACAAATCCTATACTTATATGGTCAATTAATCTATGACAAAGGAAGCAAGAATATACAATGGGGAAAAGACAGTCTCTTCAATAAATGCTGCTGGGAAAACTGGTCAGCCACATGCAGAAGAATGAAACTTGATTACACCATACAGAAAAATAAACTCAAATTGGATTAAAGACCTAAATGTGAGACCTGAAACCATAAAAATCCTAGAAAAAAACATAGGCAGTTGTTTCTTTGACATTGGCCATAGCAACATTTTTTTAGGTAGATCTCCTCAGGCAAAGGAAACAAGAACAAAAATAAACTATTGGGACTATACCAAAGTAAAAAGCTTTTGCACAGTGGAGGAAATCATCAACAAAACAGAAAGGCAACCTACTGAATGGGAGAGGGTATTTGCAAATGACATATTGATGAGGGGTTGGATAACCAATGATCGCCAAACTCATGAAGAGAATAAGAAAGAGAAAGTGAAAATGAACTAACACAACTGACTTCAGAGCATATATAGATAATTCAGGGAAAAGAAGAAAACTTTAGAAGGATTATTGAAGACCTGAATTAGTCAAGATGATATTTTCATAAAATGAAAAGAGTATATTATAATAAAGAGGCAATTGCCTTGGATTAGTGACCAAAGAAAATTCCAAGCATTTTAAAAAATGTAATTCTTAAATCAGGGCTGCTGCGGTGCATAGCTCCAGGGGTGTAGCTGTGTGAATGGAGTTCTCTGGATGGTGTCGTGTAGAGCCTGTGTGGCCACGTGCAATGGCTTGAGTTTGGAGGTCAGGCACCTTGATTTAAGTGCAGACTATCTCACAGCTGGGGAGAGAGCTTGACTTCCCTGGGCTTTAGGTTCCTTCTGGCCCCGAAAGATTGTGGGATTGGGAATATATTCGAGGGAGGAGGCCTCTTCCTGCCTTGGTTCCGACAGATGTTAAGAGACTCCCCCAGGTGGTCCTGCCCCTCTCACAGTCATTTAATAATCTCTGCATTTATAACCTGTTGCAACTTTTCTCTCCTTTTTTTTTTTTTTTTTTTTTTTTTTACTTTTCTCTCCTTTCGATCTGCACCTGGGAATGTGAAGGAGTTGGGAGGACACCCTCTTCTACTACCCCTTCGCCCAAACTCTGATCAGTCCTGAAGCAATTCTTTCTTGGTAATGCCTCAGTCTTGGATGAGTGTATATCTTCTTCATAAAGATGAGTGTATATGTCCTTCATAATGGAACAAAATCAATATAAGGTTTATGGAAAAATTCTGTTGCACAAGAGAAGCATGGTAATGTACTGTGACTAAGCAAATTCACTTTCCTCTGAGATATATTTCTTATAAGAAACTGAAAACACATTAAAAAAAATATCAATTCCTAACAAGACATGCAAAGATACTTGCTTCTATTAAACTGACTGGGCTGTTCTTGGGAGGGAAGGGAGTAAGAAAACAAAAGGATGCACAGAAATGAGCAAATATAGTAGCTGAAATACAATCTACAGAGGAATCAAGAGAGGGGAGACTGGATACTATTAAAAAAAGCAATTAAGTGAGGTAGAAGACAAACTTTAGGTGTTCTCAGAATGCAGAGGAAAAGGGCAAAGATATTAAAGCAGTATCAAAGAAGATGGCAACTGTCAGCAATAGAAAGCAGAAATTAGCTTCATAATTAATATGCATTCTAGATGGGGCGCCTGGGTGGCTCAGTCGGTTAAGCGACTGCCTTCGGCTCAAGTCATGATCCTGGAGTCCCGGGATCGAGTCCCGCATCGGGCTCCCTGCTCGGCAGGGAGTCTGCTTCTCCCTCTGACCCTCCTCCCTCTCATGCTCTCTCTATCTCATTCTCTCTGTCTCAAATAAATAAATAAAATCTTAAAAAAATTTTTTTTTTTTTTAAAATATGCATTCTAGAAAACGAATCCAGAACGAATGGAGTGGAGGCAATAAATGTGGGAAAAAATAAAAACAGGATTTCTGACTTTAAAATATCTTTTAAAAATTTTTAAAAATTGGATTTCAAAGAAAAGAAATAACCCTGCAAGCATCCTGAAAAGAAAGTAAAAAACCTGTTTCTGACAAGTGAGCAGAAAGCAGATTGATATTAGAATTCTTGGCAACACTGAATGCCAGGAAACAATGTAGCGATGTCTGTAGAACTTAGTGAAGAAGGCTATGGTTCCTATGTGAAGGAAATAGGAAGATACCTTCAGAGATGTTTGGTATCTGGAGAAATATCCCACCCACATAATATTGCTTAACAAATTGGTCACAAGGTGTCCGTCCCAGATCCTTGAGATGACATACACTGCAGTGAGCATTGACTATGTTAAATACACAGATATAATTTAAGTAATGGTGACAGAAGGCAAAAGACTATATGTAAAGAAATTATACATGTTATATATACATTTAAAAGAGAAAATAATATTATCTGAATTCAAAATAGAAGAAAGCAGAATGGAAGGAATAGAGGCAAGAGAAAATGTAAGGGCTAATTTTCATATTTTCAATAGATTACAGTAAAAATTACAGTCTGTATTTGATAAAAATAGATTTGAGAGTGCTTTTGAAAGTTTTCCATGGAATTCATTATTGGAATTCCAAATTTTTGTAGAAGAGTGAAACAAAGATTAACCTATAAAGAAAACTGGAACAGAAAGGAATATCAAAGAAACGAAAAACAGAAAATATAAAATGGCATTAGAAAGACGAGCATAACAAGTCTGAGAATAAATATAAGTAGTTTAAAATTTCCTGTTTAAAAAAAATTAAACTTCCTCCAATTTGATCATAAAATTCAATGGTTTGCTATGTTCAACTATAAAATAAAAGGCAAGGATGTATGAGGAAAATGGAAACAAAAAAAGAGAACGGTTATAGGAATCACTAATAACTCATTTTAGAATCATTTTATGCTGCTGGAAGTGCTGATATAGATCAGTGGTTCTCTAACTGGTACATCAGAATCACCTGGAGGGTCTGTCAATAAACAGATCCCTGGGCCCCACCCACAGAGTTTCTGATTCATTAAGTCTGGGATGGGGCGTGAGCATTTACACGGCTAACAAATTTCCAGGTGAGGCTGATGCTGCCAGTCACCGAGAAAAACCGATTGAGAGTGGAGATTTAATGGGAATGCAAATTTTTGTGCTAAGGAATAGCGTCAAAATATACATAGCAAAAGCCATTGGAAATATAAGAAGATAAGAGAATAACAAATTTCAACATTTTTTAAAATAAAAATAAAATTATAAATCTCAAAAAAAAAAAAAAAAGGAAAACACAGTCCAGGCTAGAGGTGATTATGGATAATTCTTCCTCAATTGACAAGAACTGTAAAAAATTTCACTATCATTTGTACTGTTCTAGAAGAGGGAACCTGATGAGTTTAAAGCCAATGAAAAAGTGGCATAATCTAAATATTCTCAAGAGAGATGGATGAAAAGGAAACCCATAGACCGTTCTCAGGAATCTTAAGTCTTAACAAAAAAAAGTGAGTGGAAAATGACACACTAGAACCAAGGAAGGTTTATCCCATAAAGGAAAGGATTATTTTTAGGAATTTATTACAATAAAACATTATATTCATAGAGATCCCTAAAAAAAAAAAGAGAGAACATATTACACCCATTTACTAGAAAACTTAGCATTATTAAGAGTTTCTGTGTAAACCCAAATCATCCTTGGTGGTGATCAATTATGGTGATCTAGAGTTCCCATTAATCTCACGACATTAGTGAGAACATTTATAGTTCTCAAAATAGAGGACTTGATTGGGTCAGTTTCCCCCCATTTATATGGAATACCTCTTTTTTTTTAAGATTTTATTTATTTATTTGACAGAGAGAGACACAGTGAGAGAGGGAACACAAGCAGGGGGACTGGGAGAAGGAGAAGCAGGCTTCCCGCAGAGCTGGGAGCCCGATGTGGGGCTCGATCCCAGCCTGAGCCGAAGGCAGTCGCTTAACCAACTGAGCCACCCAGGAGCCCCATATGGAATACCTCTTAACTAGTGTCTTTATCAAGCGATCTTATGAGTTCCTGGCCTTCTTCAGACCTTTGCAACTGCTCCCTGGTGCCATCAGCTATGGCTCAAGTGGCGGATTATGTATGTGACACATAGGACTCCAGCCGGGGAAGCAAGCCGGGGCATGCTTCTTCAGGAGGAAAGTGACCTGGAAGGCATTCCCAGGACTTCTTTTGCAATGTGGACAGTTCATGGGCATCTTTCTGAGCCATACAGCATCTGTGATAGAAAAGAGTTCAGAAGGAAGGATGATGGAACATGATATTTCTCCATAAAGGAATCGTAACAAATATTGGCGATGACACTGAACTTTCTACAGCTATGTGGGCTGAGGTTTTGAATTATTTCTCTTGGATATAAAAGAACACAGTGACTCAAAGGGCCAGAAGTGGGGCTGGGACAACTGGATATCCAAATGCAAAAGAATGAACTCGAACTCCTATTGCACACAATATAAGAAAATCAAGATGGATTAATCACCTAAAAGTAAGAGGTATTCCCCTAAGGATTCTTAAAGTAAACATAGGCATAAATCTTCATGATCCCAGATTTGGCAATGGTTCCTTAAATATGGCAATAAAAGCACAAGTATCCAAAGAAAATATAGATAAATTGGACTTCATCAAATTTAAAAACTTTGGTGCTTCACAAGGCTTCAGAGGGCCTTCCAGATTCGTTCCGGATTCGTTTTCTAGAATGCATATTAATCATGAAGCTAATTTCTGCTTTCTATTGCTGACAGTTGCCATCTTCTTTGATACTGCTTTAATATCTTTGCCCTTTTCCTCTGCATTCTGAGAACACCTAAAGTTTGTCTTCTACCTCACTTAATTGCTTTTTTTAATAGTATCCAGTCTCCCCTCTCTTGATTCCTCTGTAGATTGTATTTCAGCTTTTATTTCATCAATAAAATGAAAAGATAATTCACAGAATGGGAGTAAATATTTGCAAATCATATATCTGATAAAGGACTTATCTCTGGAATATTTAAGGAACTCTTACAATTCAGTAGTAAAAAGACAACAAAATTAAAGATGGGCACAGGATCTGAATAGATATTTCTCTGTGGAAGATCTACAAATGGTCAATAAGCACATGAAAAGCTGCTCAACATCATTAGTCATCTGAGAAATGCAAATCAACCCCACAATGAGGCACCGCTTTATACCCACTAGGGTGGCTCTAATTAAAAGGACAGATAACAAGTATTGACGAGGATATGGAGAAATTAGAACACTCATATACTGCTGGTGGGGATGTAAAATGGTACATTGCTTTGGAAAACGGTCTGTCAATTACTCAAAAATTTAAACGTAGAATTACCATATGACCCAGTGACAATTCCACTCCTAGGTATATACCCAAGAGAAATGCAAACATATGTCTGCCAAACAAACTTGTATGTGAATGTTCACAGCAGCGTTATTGACGATAGCCAAAAGGTGAAAACAACCCAAGTGTCCATTATTGGGTCATAAAAAGGAATATTGATACATGCTAAGTGAATAAATCTTAAAAATATTATGCTATGTGGAAGAAGCTAGTCACAGAGGATCACATATTGTAGTATTCCATTTATATGAAATGTCCTGAATAGGCAAATTCATGGAGATAGGAAGTATTCTAGTGGTTACCTATACTAGGATGAGGAGTTTAGGAGCTAAAGGGTATGGAGTTCTCTTTGGGGTGATGAAAACATTCTAAAGTTGATGGTAATAATGGTTGCACATTTCTGTGCATATACTAAAAACCACTGAATTGTGCACTTTAATGGATAAATTATACAGTATGTAAATTATATCTCAATAAAGCTATTATAAAGACTAGAATATTGTGGACATCGGGGTCATACATAGACTGAATCTCCTCACTGTATCCTCCATATCTTCTTACATTTAAAAAATGTTTATTTTTCCTGCTTAGAGTTTTAAACTTCTCGTGTCTCTTCCACTGTGGTAATCCAATTTTCTGCAGTATCTGTCTGCTTCCATTACAGTTTTAATTCCAGTTTTATTTTCATGTTCACCCAATCTTTCTTGATGTCAAATTGTTACTTTTTCATGACTCTGTTTTAGTTTCATAGGTTCAATATATTCTTGAATCTTGCTGAGCATATGACTCATAAATGCTTTAAAATTTCTGCTGCTTCTTGGAGTAAATCTATTTCATAAATGCAATTTTTTAAAAAAGGATTTCCTCTTCTTCTGACCTGCAGTATTCTTACTTCATAGATGGGGTGATTTTACTCTGTTTGAAGACTTGGGGCATCTCACCTCCAAGACTCAGCACTTTGCTTGTCCTCTAGAAAATAAACTTAGCTGTTTGCTAAATGTAGTACATGCCCTGGGGTGATGCCGATGTTGGTAATCTTCACTGGGGTCAGTCTACAAATTGTTAATGGATTGCTGACTCAATATGTTTGCCATTTTCATGGAAATTTGGGAGTGGAGACATTCAAATGTCTTTTCTAAGTTGCCATCTTAGCCATCTTTTTCTGGTCAAAAAGAAAAAAAAGGTTTTTTAAGCATACACTTGGTTTATTTGGAAATTTCAAATAAAGGTGATTTTTTTTTTTTTTAAAGTCAATAAACCCTTCAGAAGTCTTCCTTTTTGCTGTGGGTCGGCTTGGGGCTTGGGACCCCAGTCGCTCAGGCAGTGTGTGCTCTCTTCTTTCTGGTCAAATTTATTTGCTAAAAAGTTTAATGTTGCATTACCTATACATAGCTTAGGGAGATTAAGAATCATATTGGTAGGAATTCAAGTAATTGGAAAATCATTTGGAAACTTAAACTTTGAGAAAAGAACAACTTATCTTGTGTTAGTAATTGCAGGAAAAGGCAATAAGGAGGCTTTTGTCAGAAATAGTGTTAGCTAGACCAGTGGATATAAAATCTGATTACTACCATACATCAAAATGAATTCCAGATGGATTCAAGAGTTAAAAGAACGTACAGTTGAAAACAGACTAATGTAAAATGGAGTTGTTATCATTTTTTCCCCAAAGAAGAATACTTTACCAAGCACTGAAGTCACAGAAAAATAAGAGACAGGGTTCCAAGTTTGGACCCCCAAAATGAAAAACTTCTGTTCAACAACAGAAAGAACCAAATTTAGAAGGTAAACATGCTTTGGATGTATTTGTAACGATAATGACAAAGTCATGGTAATAGAATTGCATATCTACATGGAACCTTAGGAATTACTTTGGTTAATTTTTTCCCAAGGTGAGGTGGGGTATTAGGTCCATACCGGACCTGTGACTAACAGGCTATGTGAAGACCACCAGGTGTACTGGTGCAGAGGATGGCCTTGGGAATCTGTCGGGCGGACTTGGGTTTCAACTACTAGCTCTGTTACTTGGGGAAAACTCCTTTCTCTCTGAGCCTCAGCTTCTTCATCTGTAACATGGAGGAGGATGGTAATCTCTGTCTCACAGGTTGCAGTAAGAATAAAATGAGATAAAGCACTGAGGTACCTAAGAGTGTCTAGCACATGGAAAGAGCACCACAGGTGGTATTGCTTTATTTATCCCGCTGCCTTCATGTTACTCGTCATCTTCGTCATCGGTCATGACCATTCTCGTCATCCTTATCCTCATCCCTACCTGTGTTTGGATCCTGAATCAGCATTTCTGAGCATCAGAGGCTTTTTGGAGCCTTCAAGTTACCTTGGAAGTCAGTGCAACAGGTGGATGAAATGAAAATGAGGCCAGATGGGCAGAACCTCACAGGTCCCTGCTGCTGTTCTGCTCTGGTTCCTTTCTTCCCTCTGCTGGTTTCCTGGTTTGGCATTATTCTCCCTAATTCAGACACTCCATCCCCTGGCCCATTTTGACGTTCCAGGACGCTGTGTAACATTGGACAGTTTCTAAAACTTTTCTTTCTTCCAGTTTCCTCACTTGGAAGTTGGGAATAACAATCTCTACATCCTCCCGGATGTGATGAGAATTTTTGAAAGGACATAATTGTGAAAACTACCATAGCAGCAGACATTGTAGGTCCCCCCAAACTCTTAATTAATTTAGAGACGGCAGCTTGCTTGGTGTCGCACATCTTATTGAACCAAGGAATGCCCTTTGGGCACAGTGTCTAACTATTGTTAGATTTATGGCCCAGTCTCACGTTAAATACAGAAGGACGGGCTGTTGCTTGGATATGCTCGACTTGACCCATTTTTCTCTAAGCTCCATATCCATCCACTTTTGAAATTCCTGGAGTGGCTTTTCCTCGCCCAGTGGAAATAGCCTTTTGGCTTTCTGTGATAGCTTTCTTTTCCTTTCTTCTTTTCAAATTACTTATGACCACTTGTTTTTTGTACATAATTTAAAGAACCAAAGCTGACACCCCTCCCCCATGTAACAGTTGGCAAAAACACTAAAAATATGCCCAAACTTAATTTTATGTGTGTACTTTTTTTTTTTTTTACCCCCTAAGAAATAATAAAAAAATTATACTTGCAAAACATGTAGTGTGGGTCTTGAATCAAGTAATCAAGTTACTTCTGCCAGATGCCTTTGACAGCACCCCAAAAGGTCTAGATTCCTGGGCATTACATTTCCTGTGTGTAGCCCTCCACATGTCTGCACTTTGTGTGTGTGCAGGGTGGAGGCTGGATGTGGCCCGCCCCCGGGGACATGATTCCTTGTATTAAAAGGCAATACTAAGGACATTTTTGTGTGTATTTCAAACAGCATATTTTTGTCTCAACAGTCTGATGCTGAAGCAGACCTCTGGAAAAGCAAGTCTGTTTCTTGTGCAATTCCTCCTCAACCCCCTCCCACCCTAGCCATATGCTTTTTCTATCTAACTCCCATCTCTTGGGTGCCATAAGGTTTGGCAGAATCTTGGCATGGGGCTCAGAGATCTGAAATTATGTTGGGTGTGATGTCTGACCATTCTCCCCTTGTCTGTCCAGCTTTACTTTTTGTGGTAATATGGATGTACATGGTAATACGAGTTTTGATGTATTTCTCTGGTAGTTGGAGTCAGTTGGTTCTCATTGATATTGATAACGCTCACTCTGATTTAAACACTGCCTTTTAGTTTAAAGAATTTTATTGGGAAGGTGTTCTTAGCACATGTTCCCAAATGACATTATTCTCCCTTAGCTGTAACTCAGTGGGAACCGCATTCAGTAGGAGCTGCATCGCGGCCCCCCGGATAGGATTCCTCTGCCTACAAGTCATAGTACCACAGTGCCGGGCACTGCTGACAAATGGTTGCGCTTGAGTTATTTAATACAGAAGATGGACTCCCATTGTTATGGTCCCTATGTTACAAACACTCCAGGGTCAGTTGTGAAACACTCTAGAAAGACCACAGTATCAGCTGCCATCTTGAGATCAGCTGCCATCCTGTTTCCCAGAGCTCTGCCTTCCTCAGCAACATCCCACTGGATTTTCCAATATCTTCGCCTGATAGGACCTCTCCTTCCTCAAGTCCTGAGCACATCATGATTGGGAAAGCTCTTGAACTCCTTTCCCTTAACACTATGGTCCTTAAAAGGAATTCAGCATCTACCCTAGATCCAGGCTCCACCAGTTAGCCACCACCATTAGTCTTTTTTTTTTATTTTTTTAGTTTTTTTTTTTCATTAGTCTCTTCTTTACGCACACCCTAACCTACCTGCTAACATCTGTTCCGTGCTAACTAACTTTTAGACTTGTATGCCACCAGGACCTAGTCTAAGTCACCTGTGTAGCTTTTCATTCATCCATTCATTCACTCACTCATGCATTCATTCACTTATGCATTCACTCAGGACACATTTAATGAATCCCTGCTCCTAGATAGGCTCTCCTCAGGCCCTGTGATGAGAATAGAAAAGGGGACAATTATACTATATGTAGTTAGTATAGTACGGTAGAGGGACTAAATTAGAGGGAAGCACAGAATGCTATGAAAACAAGGAGGAAGTTTTAACCCAGTCAGGGGCTGAGCAGAGAGGAGGTGGGGGGGGGCGGGGGAGGCAGCTGTCGGGGAACATTTCCTAAGAAGCAAACTCGTGGAACTGAGTCCCTGCACACAAGGAGCACTTCTGCCTCCCTCTATGGGACTAGTTTCTGTCTTAGTTCTCTGCCTTGTGCTCTATCAGTTGTACTTTCTAATTTTTCACTTCCATCTTTGGGTGGAAGTCAGCCTCCTGAAATTCAGTAAATTTGGCTAGAATCCAGGTACTCTGCTTAACTCCTCTGGACACTACCCTGCCCTCTGGGTGATGGAATATGCCTGGTCCCCTGTCAATTTTCTGAATCTTCCAGAACCAGGTCCACCGCCTCTGGATTTCTGAGTGTTTGCCCTCTGAGCCTTGGACCCCCATTACTGCAACATCCTCCGGAGCAGGTTGCCCAACACAGGCATGTGGATGATCGGACTTTGGGAGCTAGGCTGGGACCTACATACTGGTCCACACCAGCCTGGTCTTGAGCCAGGTTAGCTTCCCTAGATCCCTTCAGTTGGCTTCTCTTCCCATCTCAGAGTCCACATTGAATGCCCGCCTCCGCTAAGAGTCTAATATGCCTTACATCTGAGCATATCTGAATTACAAGTACAACTGATCTATAAGCTGAATGGGTTGAACTTGGTAGCGTAAAATCCAAAAATAATTTTATTTTATTTTTTATCAACCACTGCTCTTTAAACCAGCTCTGTTGGGAATCTCTTTCCTATTCCTAGCGAATACCTCAGAAGTACTAGCTTTTCTGGCAATTTCTCGTATCAGAACAGACTCATTTCTATTTTTTTTTTTTAAGATTTTATTTATTTGACAGAGAGAGACACAGCGAGAGAGGGAACACAAGCAGGGGGAGGGGAGAGGGAGAAGCAGGCTTCCTGCGGAGCAGGGAGCCCGATGCGGGGCTCAATCCCAGGACCCCGGGATCATGACCTGAGCCGAAGGCAGATGCTTAATGACTGAGCCACCCAGGCGCCCCCAGACTCATTTGTGGAGTATTAAAAAGCTCAGTTTGATTTAGATTAGGTTGGACTCAGCTTCCGGCCTTGGAGAAGAGAGACAGACGTGGTCTGTTCTTTTACCTTACCTCCCAGCTAGCTCCCTTTCTACTGCTTCTGGATGAGTGGGAAGGAGGCATGAGAGGGAAATCTTAATTCTCATTTGACAGCTGTTGGCATAGTTGGCCTTGGTGTTGTCTGTGTGGCAGATGCCCAACTGCTCAAGGAGAGACTCTGTGAGTCCTTGAAGTCCCAGCCCTGGCCCTCCCAGGGATCTCTGGTGTGGGCGATGCATTCTCTGGCTGGCAGCCAACAACCCCTCCTCAGCCCTGGCTCAGAAGGAATACCTCCAGACTCTTCCTGCTGGCATCTCTTCAGCCTGCCCCATCCTTCTGTGCGGGGCTTCTTTGAAGATGGCTCCAGCTTAGCTACTCCGGGGGAAGTCCACTTAACCCATGGGAAAACCCACGTCAGCCTTGCTTCACCTTCTGAGGAGGTGGAGCTCAGCCCTGCACGGCTCTCCACCCTGCAGTCACAGGTAG